CACAAATAAGGAAATATTAAAATTAAATAATATGTATTATATTATAATAACCCATATAAGCATACATTATTTTTCGCATTTGGAGTTTTATACATTATACAAACATATGTGAACTAATTAATAAAAATATTTTATAATATTAAAATATTTATTTATAAAATACATCATTATAACTATTATATTGAAAATATATGAATTATTTTCAAAATTTACAAATATTAAAATATTCTTTTTAATTTGAATTAATTTATTTTATATATTATACGAAGATATTATCTCCAAATGGGCGTAAGCACTTTAGTACATGAATCAATAGTAGAAAAATAGATACGTAAGATTCGAATTTAAAGATATTAAATAATATAACATATACTTATAATATCGTTATATATATAAGAAAAAGCTATGTATTAGTTACCACCTTCACAAAATAAAATGAAAAATATATTTATATAAGAAATAATTTTTTCATCCTATATTCTTTTATACGCTTTTAAATTCCATAAAAATTATGAATCATTAAAATTATGCAACAACAATGTTATAATTTATGTTTTATACTTAATTGATTATAGATCAGTATTTTTCTGACATTATATTAATTATGATATATATATAATAAAATGTTTTATCATAGAAAATGTTGATTATAGCTACGTTGGATGTTATTAATAAATAATTTTGTTTTGTAGAATATTTAGTACAACATGTTATAAAATGTGGTTTAAAATTATAAAAGTGATAACATACGATATACCTTCTTTATTTCGAGGCCATTGAATATTGCAGAAATTATAAATGTATTCTGTAAAATAGATATATGTGTCATAAATAATAAATTTATAAATTTTTGTATTATTTTTATGTATATTTTATAATTTAACTACATTTTCAATCGTTCTATGAAATAACAAAGATTCTTAAATAAATAATGGCATAATTGTTATATAATATTTAATTCATGATAAATGAATTTATTTTCATGTTTTCATTAACTGATTATTGTGTATAATATTTAAATTTCACATTTTATTATTATAATTTTTTTTCATTACATAAATTTCTAAAATGCATGCTAATTATAAAAAAAAAATACACTTATTAATGCCATTCATAATGATTGATGCAATGTATGTTTTAATAAATAAGTAAAAATAATATAGGTATCATATATTTCATTTAATATTATGTGAATAATAATAATTATATTATCTTCAACATGATTATTTTTAATTTTATTTCATTTGTTATTTAAAATCAAAAAAGCCATAAGTTATTTATATATGTGCAAAATAAAATATTGTCAGATAACACTTAATAGTTTATTGTACAATTTGTTTATTTTTTTTTAATATAATTTTTTATAGGTTAAATTTATTTTTTATAAATTTTTTTTTAATTAAATACAATCAATAAACTGAGTCTAAAACATATATAGAAAATATAAGTTTTATGTTTTACTTGTTTTACATTTTTTTTGGCAAAATATGCTATTGCATCATGTAATGTTATTCCATTTATTTTATAGAGTTGTTTGCGTTTAATTTATTAATAATAAAATATTTATAAAATATATAATATTTTATATTAATAAAACATAAGAATATTAGATTTTTTAATGACTACTCTATGTCCGGTTACATGTATATTAAATGATAAACTCGACAACTGGATATATTAACACACAGTATTAAAAGTAGTAGGGTGTAAAAAAAATAAATATAAACTAAAATAATTTTTATTTCCTTATTTTATATATTTTAAACCAAATATATATTACGTTTTATATGAGATGAGAATAATAATTTTTTTATAAAATGTTATTCAAGCATAATGCTGTAAAGAATATCTATATATGAGATCTGCTAGTATTGATAACATATAGGTAATTATGACATAACAAAAAATAATAGTGCATTGAAATGTTACATGATAGATATTTTCATTTTCTCTTTTATTAATAATCCAATTCAGTGACTTATTTTATCCAGAGATGCCTTATAAATTGGGAATATATAAAGCATAAAAAAATCAATATATACGAAAAAAAAAGAATAAATGATGCATAAATAACACAGTATAATATGTAAAATGTTAAAATAATTAATATAAAAATAAATAAAATAAATAGATAATAATAATTGAAGAGATTTCTGGAATATGCCAAAGGGCCATTATACAGTGCTCTTATATTGTAATATATGGCTCAAGGAAATTATTAGAGAATGAAACAAATTAATATAAAATATATGTACGAAGTTACACAGATTTGAGAATAGACAAAATGTAATATATAATTAATAGTGCATCGTGAAGTTATAACAACAATGTATATAGTTTTTTACCACTTATATAAGGGCTGATCGTTATATGCCAGACAGTTCATATATATAGATATTAATTATATGCTTGAAGAGTAAAGATTCGCAGAAGATATAATGTGTAACTCCGTGTTAGTATATTACTTAATAATTATTATATTCCAATTTAAAGTTCTATCTCTTTCTACCTATTCAATTATCCTGTAAAATTTATGAAAAAAAAAAGAAATATTGTATAATATGAAAAATACATATGCTGAATGAAAATTTAACAATGAGTTTATTAAGCATTCAAGAAGTTATATAAAATATAAAATTTTTTAATTGTCAAATATAAAATATAGAACAGTGGAAAAATTTCTCATAGTTCATAAAATTTTATATTAATGGATAATAAGTATATAATAAAAATACAACATATTTATATAGTCCTACTCGTGTTAAAAAATTTAGATATATATGTACAATTGTAGATAACAAGAAAAAGATTTTATAAAGGTTTTTATAGAAATAATATATTATTTATTAAATATAGAATCCGATTTTAAGAACAATACGTATACCTTTTCTACATTTGACCATATATATCTCGAGTTATATCAGATTCTTCTTATAGACATGCTTAAAAATTATTCATTATTTTGAAATAAAATTAATAAATGCTTTTCATATATTAATGAGTGGTAAATATATAATCTTAAATATATTTATGAAATGCATAAAAAGTATATAATAATTTAATATATAATGCTAATTTTTTTAAATAATTTCTTTGTTAACTAAAAAATTGTATTTATAATTCATTAATATTTATGAAAATTATTCATGCTTATGCATTATATAAAATTTATCTCTATAAACTAGATAACATGAAAAATTATATTTATAATGCTTTGCTAAGAATAATAAGCAATATTGACCTCAAATTTTATCATTCATTAATAATAGAAAAATTATGCCTTAAATTATATTAACATATAGCTCTATAGTTTAACTATCGTATCCCTTACTTATTATTACAATTCATATATTCAATTTTACATATTAATTGCTACATTATAAGATATGATAAGGTAAACAGATAATAGAATATTTCTTATTTATATATATATTGATTTTAAAAAGATTCCTATATTCTCAATAACTAAAAATTATACTATACTGTTTATGGAATGATAGTGCATTATTATTAATAAAGAAAATAAGTAGTATAACAAAAATTACAATTAACTACGTATACAATAATTTTCATAACTCCAAAAAAAAAAAAATATATAATCAATATAATATAGAATATAACTTCTTATAATGTACAAAATAATTGTGAAAATAGAAAATATCACCTATTTTAAACATAAAATGTGACAATAACATCAAGTGATCCCTTGAATGTCTAAAATATGTACACTTATATGTATTATTTCTGAAATAAGCATAATAAAATTTATAAATTCTTTAATAAATATTCTAATATATAGGACAAATGATATATAATATCTTAATTTAATTATGTTTTTAAATTTACAACTTTATATGATAGATTACATATATATTGTATATCAATATATTAACTTTATTAATAATATTTATTCAAAAAAACACATGATGATTATCAAAAAATATATATATATACATACTCCAAGAGAATGTAAATGTATCTTCAGATAATGAGAATTCATAATTTTCAAATGTAGACAAAATATAATATATAATTAGCTATGTGAATATGAGTAATTCACTTCTGTATATATATAGTACATAACAATCTTTATGGAAATAAATATGTTTTAAGAACATTTTTTTTCATTAATATGTAAATAAAATATATTATTCCTATATATAGAATATATTTAAATGATAAAATCATAAAAGTTATTTATAAAATAATATACATATATGATTCAGCTGTGATTATTTCTTTATGTATATAATTATATCTAGTAATAAATATGATCTTTGTTTTTGTTAAATTTTCCTAGATATATTTTTCATTATATAGAAACAATATATAGCATATAAAATTACGTAAACTAATACAGTATAAGGATAACACTTATTTAATATTTATTTATTTTTGTAAAGTATTACAGATTAATTACATTAATGTATTATTCATTAATACATTATTATATTCTCTATGTTTAATAGGTATTTTTAATATAATTATTATATCTTACATTGATTTGGGAATTATTTGTTTCAAGCACTTTATTAGTATGTATAATATTATATCAGAGTGTGCTAACCTATATATTGTATTTATATGAACTTTTAATTAAATATTTAATTCTCTCCTTTTTTTACTTAGATTGAATAAGCTTAAAATCATGAAAATTATTATTTATTAATCCTTCAAATTTATTTAAATTTTGATATGTCTATTTTATGCTATTCTTACATGATATGTAATAACTATTATTACATGTTAATAAGTTGTACTTTTCTTAAGCTCATTTATAACAATTATATTTATTGTTCATTGTGATACACCGTTTTTTCATTTAATAATACATCTATTGTCTTAATTTACTGAAAAAATATAAGTTATTTTACAATTTAATTATAATTTTATAGGATTTCCTTTTGTATAATTATTTATTTTTTCATACAATACTAATATACATTATTGTTTTACTCGGCTGAAATTATTTTTAATTTATTAATTTAAACACACTTTTATTAAGAATAGTCTACTGAACTATATTCTATACTATAATCCTTATCAATAGAAGGTTTGTATGGGCTTTCTAATGAATCAAAGTATATAAGATATTCTTCATCCTTTTTATTAAAAAATCTCCTTATTTTCACTAATAATTGTTCTAGATATGATCTATAAGATGTATTCTAATAATAACGAATATATATCATAGTTATATGTATATGTCATTTATTAGATACAAATTTCATAATAATGGGTAAAATAAATTTTAATACTTTATATATAATATAAACTGAATTTATATTTAACCTTATAAAAAATGAATATTATTAAAGTTATTGTAAATATTGAAAATATTATAGTTAAAAATGCTGCACGTATGTGTATAAACAATGAGGACTGTGAGTGTTCATAAGCTTCCTTATGGATATATTCATTTACACTATCTTGAATATACAGAAGTTTAAATGAATTTAGAACATGACAATAACTGTTTTTATTCAGATTTTCACAAGTTTCTGAATAATCTGTGTATTTTTTAAAACATGTACTATTTTTAGGGCAGTTTCTCCTCTGTAGTATAAAGGCATTGTAGAGATCATTCAATTTTTCGAATTTTTGAAATGTATCATCACTAAGGTCTTTAATATATGTTTCACATATATTAGATACATTAAAATAAGTTTCTTCATTTTGTTCAATTATCATTTTTTTATAAGCTTTTTCAGTGCTCTGTTCAGGACATTTATAAATATTTAATAAATATTTTAACTTATAATTGAAATATTTACAACCTGGTGCTATTTCAGTAGTGCTATTTTTATTTTTTATATAATTTAAATAGAGAAGAAGCTCTTTACATTTTGATACAAAAAAATATCTGTAATGTTGATGAAAATTTAAAGAATTTGCAGTTACTGAACATGTATTACCAATTTGAGATTCAACATTAGTTTTGCTATTAGTTGTATGAGTATGAAAATCATTTAAGCATGTGGGAAATATATCCTTAAAATCGTACTAAAAATTAAGTTCACCATGAAAACGAAATTTTAATATAATGTTTAAAAAAAAAAAATATTTCTTCTTATACTTACACACATAAAAATATTTTTAAATTATGTAATATAAGTTTTATTTTTCTCAAAATGTGGGAACGTACGTTTTCTGCTACTGCTGGTTGCGTAGTCATTGTATTAATTTATGTGAAATGAACATAAAAAAGTTGATATTAACGTGATTAATGGTTTAGCGTTCAAGGGTATTACGTGCTGTTTTAGATTAATATTTCGTTTTATACTTTTTGTGTTCAATGTAATGATATTTATTATAATTTTATCTAAATAACGTAAAGGAAAGAGAAATTATGTATTTTCTTAATTTAAATATATGTATTGATAATACGTTAATTATTATAATTTACTGTTGTCGTATTATCTATTATAAGTAATTAGTAAATATCTTTATTCTTAATTATACATATATATTTTGCTGATATATGTAAATATTATGAATGCATGTATTATACAAAAAATAAATATAACTGATGAATTTCCACTAATAATTGTCCGTATAATTATGATGATATTTTGTTTTAATTTTTATAATATCTTTCTTTTTGTTTTATTTCTTTTATTTACCTGTTGTATAAAATAATATATACATTTAATCTAATTGGTATAGATTGATCATTAAGTATTAAATTTAAAAGCTTAAACTTTGTTTATATTTTATATATCCTTGAATAATCTGTATTATTTATATATATTACATTTTTTTATGTCTTTTTTCTGTTTTCCTTGCGATTGATGCATTATTAAAGTAAAATTTGATAAATTAAGATAACATCTAAAATAATATTTCAATAAAAAATTGTCAAAGTGCCAATATATGCATAATTATATCTCAAAATACTTCTGTAATACAATAAATATTACTTCCACACACTTATCTTCATATTTTCCCTAAATTTTTCTTGCATTTTATATGAGGATAAGTTATCTATTATTACATTATAAATATATTGCTATTTTATAGTTATAGGAATTTGAAATATAATATATTTAAGCATATTAAAAAGTATTTATTTGGAAGAATATATATACACTTTTTAATTTAAAAATATTTTATTATAAATGTTGAAAAATATATATATTTGATGCTGTAAAAATATCATATCAATTGAAATTAATTAATATTATTATAAAAGAAAAATTCTCTTGGCGACATGTTTAGAATATTTAATACAGTTAAAATAATAATTATAATTTTGTTATATTTATAAGATATTTTAATAATTTTTTGTTGTTTATAATAATAAAACGTTTAATATTCACTATATATATCACATGATGATTCCGGTATGAATAATAATTGAAACTTCATTTATATAAAAGAATTAATTTAACATATTACAGCAAATCAATATATTAAGTAAGAACACATAAAATTAATACAGCTCAAAATATAATATACAACTGAAAATTTATGCACAGAATTACAGTAATTATTGCAAAAATACGTTTAAAAATGTAGTTCAAAAAAATATATATATAAATAGAAAATAAGCAACAATGGAAAAAAAAATATATATATAATAAAACATTGTTATGTTAATTAATATTTGTATAAATTTTATTATTATCTCATATTATAAATCTGAATATTCCACATATGTTGTTATTATATGTTACCTTAGTGGAATTATCTGTATAATACATTAACTTTTGTACGAATCTTTAAATATCCCCAATAGAAATTTAGGACACATATATATTATTCATATAATATATATAGTTATATTGTTTAAATATCATTATATTTTTATTTTCACTTGTACTATTTAACAAACATCCATTTAAAAATACGAATACATAATATATATAATTTTTTAAGCAAATTGAAGGAAAAATTATAAATGCGAGTAATTTACATAGAGTTATTAATAACTTCTCTAAAATAAAATAAATTTTAATAAAACAATATTTATGAAGTATATTATATGAAAAATATGTTTTTATGAATTTTATTTTTTAGATAAATTTATATGTAAAAGAAAATAATATATATTTTATTTTCAAATGTCATGATTTTTGAGTAACTACATACTGCACATTTTATTTAATGTAATAGAAAAAATAAGAATATTCTAATAAAAAATAGCATAAAATATGTTTATATAATATTAATTCTATATCCATTAATGTATCATAAGTTGTACAAATAATGTTCAAGCCATATAAATAATATAATATATAAAATAATTTTTTTTAAATAAAATGTATACCCTTAATATATGGTATAAAAAAAAATTCTAAAACAATTACTACATAATAAAAATAAAAATGTATATGAAAAATCGTAATTATTTTTAGTATTATAAAATATAAGTCATTTTTTTTTAGGATGGAATTAAAAGTAAAAAACATTTTACAAAAAAATTTCTACTAAGAAAGCAAATATTTTCATTATATTTTTTACATATGATAATTCATATTTATAAATATGAACATAAAAAAATTATTAATTCTCACAACTTACAAATATTTCATTCTTCTTTTATTTTTATGGAGACACACATTTGTTTTAGTTAAGTATATGTCATTGTAATCATATAAATGAATACATTTTGTTGTAAAATATATGTTATAGATTTATTGAAATTTATTTCATGTACATTTTATTAAATATAAACAACAGATTACATTATTATTAGTTTATTGACCTCACAATTTTTTCATCCAATAGATTTTTTAAAAAATCACAAAATATTTGTCTATATAGATTTATAATATTAATATAATTTGTTATAGTATAAATTATAGAAAACATTTATTTGAATAAGCAAAATCTATATATTTGCAACATAAAAATTTTTAGTGATGTATGTAATAATTTTAAGCATGGTTAATCAGCGTACAAAGCAATTTCATGTACATATAAATATATGCTCTGCAATGTGTATATACATATGTATTTCTTTTAATTTAATATTTATTATTTATAGAATTTGAATCTGTGCATTTTAGGAAATAAATTCATGCTAAATATATTATTTATATATTATCCATTTAATTAATTACACACTAAAAAATATCATGTTGTTAACAACATGATTTTTTGCATATTTTTGTAAAAATAATATAAGAATAGTATAACAATACTCATATTAATTATATATATAATTTTATAACTTTACATATCCTATTAATTCATATTTGTTGCTATTTATTATGTACATATGCTTTGTTTTATTTTACATCCCTATCTATGTATAAAAAATGAATATATTTTTTTTTAGGTAATGCTAAATTAAAATATTCAAATGTTATTCTAGTAATTAGTATAAATTGTTCATATTGTATATACATAGTTATCTTAAAAAAAAAATAAATTATAATAATTATTATTGTTTTCTTTATTAAAAGAAAAGAATACAGGAAATATTATATACATACGATTTAAACAATTAATGGTAATTATAAACATAAATAAATTTAATAAAATAGAAATAATCTAAAACATTTTGAATCAGAAAATATATGGTGCAACGTATATGAAAATATAGTTCTTTAATTAATATATGTTGAAAAATATTTTGTAAAATTAAAACGTATATATATATTGCACAATATATATATACATATAAGTAAGATTATTATGCGATACAATACTTTTAAAGATACATAAATTAAAGAAGTTGCATGGGATAGAATATTCTATAGAAGTAATTAAAAAATACGTTTAATGTTTATATGCTATTTTGATTTATTTCATTGAGTATATTTATTTTTACTCATTAGATATTTATATGCATAATTACTATTAAATATATGTATGTCACATTTTATTGTAAAAAGTGATGAGACTTTTTTTGTATTACTATGATATATTTAATGTACAATAGAAGAATCTTTTATTCTATGTGATATATATAGTTATTCTATTTCTGATGTATAACATCTGTATACTACCTTTTTAATGTTATAATACTAAAATATATATATTGACAATATTATTTATGTTTAAGACACATTTTACTCATAATTCAACTCTTACCTACTTTCGTACTTATTAGTTATTTATGTTATCCACTTATATTAGTTAAACTATAATTATTATAATATCTCATATGGATATTTTTAGTTTTTCCTATAATATTGTTAGATATACTTAGATTAATAATAAAAATCACTATAAAAAATATAAGTTAAACAATATTTCAATTTATAATAATAAATACATATATTTGAATAAAATAATATGAAAATATTAATTTGTGAACACAATAACTTAAAGCTATTACAAATACTATTTAATGAATGCATCGTACTATATGTCTAATATAATATATATAATTTGTTTTGAATATTCTATTCGTGTTTTTAATTATTTTTTTAATATATTTAAGGTATAAATATATAAATTTAGAGAATTTGATGAGAATATTTTAATTATAATTCACACCTTGTTATATGAATATACAAAAATTTATTTATTTGCATATTAATTAGAACCTTCTATTTTTGATATAAATTTATTCCAGTGATGATATAGATTGGTTATTTAAAATATAAATAATAAAATTAACCAACATTTTTATTTACTTTTACCATATTTTATATTTAACTAGGTTACATGTAAATTGTGTCAATAAGTATTCATTTTTTTTTTTTTTTATTTCATGTATAATAGTATTTTTTCTTTTAATTATATATAATTAAAAATTTTGGATTTTAAAAATGAAATCATATGAATATAGTTCATGTTTCAAAATTTAATATTATTATTTTTAGATGAGTAGTAATAATAACAGTTAATTATGTTTATATATTATTGTAT